ATGTACGCGCGCAGATAAGTTTCAACATTGGCATTGGCTCGCTCAACCAGACCATTGCCAGCGGCATGATACGCGCTGCTCAGCGCCAGCTCCACACCAAGGCCTCGCCAGTAGTCACGCCACGCTTTGGCTGCGAACTGGGGCCCACGGTCACTGAGAATGCGGTCAGGCAGGCCATGATGGCGAACCACATTGTCAAAAAATAACTTTGCAGTTGCTCGCGCTGTAATCGCTTTGACCGAAGGAATCAGGTGAATCATGCGAGTCAGTCGGTCTTTGCAGACCAGGAGCGCATCAAAACCTTGGTCCGGTGGCAAATCAGTGATAAAATCCACCGCCCAGTCACCAAACGGTCGCTTGGGAGCGGGGATTGGCATCAGCAGTCCGTACGGCGCATGCCGCGGGACCTTGACACGTTGGCACATGTCACACGTAGCCACATAGTGAATCACATAGGCACGCAGGCCTGGCCAGGCAAAGTCGCGACGAACCAGCTCAAGCGTTTTCAGCTCGCCGCCATGACCAGCCAACTCTGCGTCGTGTCGCATGAAGAGGACAGTGGACCTCATGCTTTCCGGGACATACAGTCGGCCATCCTTTCGCAGCAGGCCGTCAGCCAAGACGTAGCGCGAGTGTGGGGCCGCAGCCAACAGCGACGCTTGCGCATCCACAGCAGTCTCGAGACGAATTTTCCCAACCAAGTCGGTTGGAAGCTCGCTCGCACTGTGAGTAGCTGCTGGGGTGTCAGGCGCTGCTACTCCAGCATCGGCGGTTGCTAATGCATCGTCGTGATCATGCGTGGCAGGCGAACTCGGGATTATGTGCGTTTGCGGCGCAAATGTCACTCGAGGGGCACGGGCACGCTCAGGCGCTGCACCAGCACCCTGGGTAGCATCACCGACCGCTTGCGCACGTGTGACAGGGGCAGCGATCTTGGTGAAAAGGCTGGGGGCAGGATGGGCTCGAGGCGAGTGGGTTGTGGAGTTGCACCACTTCCCGTCCTCGACAAAGCATCCGCCGCTCCATTACGCGAGCCATCGATATGGAGGATCACGAAATCGAAGCGACCAAGCCTTTCCTTCCAATTGGTCTCGCGGGAGCTGAGCTCTTTCGCAAACGAGAATTCACGCAAATGCGATGGTCCGAGTGCACTGTCGTCTGCTGTCGACTG